TGAATGAATGGGGTGGATGGCAGCTCAGGTTGCATGCAGTGAGTTTTGAATAAGTCGACATTTGAGTCGGAAGAATCAAAGTTGTAAATTAAGGTGCTTGAAGGATTAAGTCTAAAGGCGATGAAAGCACTGGTGCCAGATAGCTAGATGGATTGAGTAGCCTTATTCTGTGCTATAAATATAATTATTTCATTTTTAGAAAGAATGAGACAGGAAGGTCCATAATCGCAATGACCAATGAAAGTGAAGTATTTTACCATTTAGATACGAGAGAGGCATACATTTGCCACAGTAAATATGGATTTCCAGTGGACACATACCTGAGACCCTACCTGAAGTATATCCTGACCTGAAAATCAATTAGTAATTATAAATAAAAGTATCTTAAAACTATTGTTTGTTTAAACAGAGTTTGAAAGAGGAACCTATCCACATTTTGACTGTTGCCCTCAAAGAGGTTGATTCTGAGCAGGATGATGAACTAATGCTTATCTTCAGCAAATTCTGTCAATCACAGGTATCTATATAACCTGCCTTGTCGATTTTACTTGTGAAAAGCCTCTAACCTATATCAGATGTGGCTTGTTGGTAGTACTCTCTCCTCTGAGTCAGAACATTGTGAGTTCAGATCCCTGACTCTGTGAAAAATGCTATCTTTTGGATGAGATTTTAAACTGAGACCCCATGTGTCCCCTCAGGCTGATGGAAACTATCCCACATCTCTATTTTGAAGAAGAATAGCAGAATTATTCCAGTGTCCTGACCAAAATTTATCTCTAAATCAAATCCCAAAGGCATGTTGTCAAGTCATTATCACATTACTATTTGTGGGAGATTGGCTGTCATGTGTCTTACATTATAGTGATAGCACTTGGAAAAAGTACTTCATTGATTGTAACATACTTCAAATTGGCTGATGTTGGTGAAAGATGCAAAATGACAAGGATTATTTTTCTTTTTTTCATTATAGTTAGCATTGCTGTCTCATGACAATTATACCTTTGTTGCTATTCATCATACTTTTTTGACGAACAATGTAATCAAAGTAGATTCACTTTTACATTAGAAAAGTAAAAAATGATGGTGAAACTTGACATTCAGGTACCCTAACTTAATAATTTCCAAATCCAATTACACTTTTAATTAGAGACAACACAGTGTGGAGCTGGAGGAACACAGCAGGCCAGGCAGCATCAGAGGAGCAGGAAAGTTGACATTTTGGGTCAGGACCCTTCTTCAGAAATGGGGAGGGGGAAAGGAGCGGGGAAATAAATAGAGAGGGGGGGGGGGGCTGGGGAAGGTAGGTGGGATGGTGATAGGTGAGTGCAAGTAGGGAATGGTGGGGATTGGTCAGTGAGGTGGGAGGGGCAGATAGGTGGGAGAGAAGATGGACAGGTTGTGTCGGGTCAAGGAGGAGGGGATGAGAGGGAAGGTTGGAGATGCGGTGTGGCCGGGGCTGGGGAGATTTTAAAACTGGTGGATTCCATATTCAGGCCATTGGGCTGTAGGCTTCTGAGGCAGAATATGAGGTGTCGCTCCTCCAGTTTGCTGGTGTCGTTGTGACACTGGAGGAGACCCAGGATGGAAATGTCACCCAGGGAGTGGGAGGGGGAGTTAAAATGATTGGCGACCGGTAGGTGTCGTTGTTTGTGACATACAGAGTGCAGATGCTCTCTGACTCTACGCTTGGCCTTACCGATGTAGAGGAGGCCACATTGAGAGCAGCGGATACAGTAGACCCAAGTTGGCATTTGTGCAGGTGAAACCCCTGTCTGATATGAAAGGTTTGTTTTGGGCCTTGAATGGTGGTGTAGGGGCAGGTGTAGCACTACCTGCCATCTTTACACCTTTAATTAGGTAATGTTTTTATCTTTACAATGTGTTTGGGAATATTATTCCAAAATATTTCTCTCCATACTCGTTTAAATTTACGAGATGAAAATATGACATAGAGAATTTCTTCTAATTTTTGCATGAACTTCTTAAACCAAGCTTATTGAACGTTTTACTTGCTAATTAAACCAATTAGCTGGAAATAATAATTTTTAAAGCAGGCAACTTTGAAGATATTAACTTTCTAGTTTGATTTTGCTGCCCATTAAAATCTTCAGTTGTTCCTTTTCCTTGTGTTTACAGAAAGCACTTCTTTTTGACTTCGGAATCAGACGAATCACCTTTCTAGTTGGGCAGAAGGCAAGTTTTATTTTCTAAACTGGTTAATTCATTTTAAAGAATTTTGCATCAAAGATTATTTACTTCAGTTTTAAGTATTCACAACATGATCTCTGATTTTTGTTTCCTTCCCAATCTCCTTTTTCTCTACAGAGAGAATTCCCCAAGTACTTCACCTTCAGGGCCAGCGCTGAGGTACATTAAGCAATTTTGCTGCAAATAATAAGCCAATAAATATTGCATCTATGGGTTATGATTGTAACAATTTTGGAGCGTGAGAAATATTCTAAGTCTGCATGCCAAGCTGCCCTGTTATTACTGAGTTTGTAAATCCATCCCATAAAAGAGAGCTGAAAG